CCCTGTCCCTGCTGGCCACCCCTCTTTTGATGGAGCCCAGGATACCATTTGCCTTCCGAGCCACAAGGGAACACTGCTGGCTCATGTTAAGTTTTTCATCTCTCAAGACCCCCAGGTCCTATCTTAGAGAAGGTGTGAAGTGGGGATGAAACAGTGAAGGGGGGAAAAAAAGAAGGATTTTTTTTTTCTTTTTTTTTTTGTTGGGAAATCTCTTCTCCAGTGGATGGCAGCAGCTGGAGTTACATGCATATAAATTGTGTTCATCAAGATGGGAAAATGTTGCCTTAGATTATAGGCTGTGAGGAAGTGGATGTCAAAAACATTTTCATGAGAGACCTTCTTGGATTTTTCTGTTGTGTGGCCTGTAAAAGAAATTATATATTCTGTATATTCTCTTCCCTAGGGAAATATATTCATACACAAGCTCTGCTGCCAAACTTGTCAAATCTTTACTCTTTTAAAAAGGAAACTTAAGCCAAAACTCCCTGCCTATGAAATGCCAAGCAGTTTAACTCTCAAGTTTCTGTAGTTTTAGACAAGAAAATTACCTTCTAAATAATGGAAAGGTGGTGATGTTGGTGGTGATGCAGGAAATTCATCGTTACGACTGAGATTCCAGCCCCACTTGCCCCCTGTGTCCGGGACCTGCCAGGGTTCCAGCAGCAGGGCACTGCGTCGCTCCGGCTGCTGCAGGAGGTCCTGCTGGGGCAACCAAAGGGCACAGGTTCAACTGGAGTTCCCCAGTCTTTCTTGGCACTTTGTACTCTTGCACTTTTTAAAATCTGCAATATTTTCTTTTTAATATTTTTCTTTTAAGATAGGGTCTTTTTCTGCATTAAAGATTAATTAAGTGGCACTGTGTGACTCAGGGGATTAAAAACATGAAGTTCTTCCTCTCCTTACATGGCTCATTCTAATCTAATCCATGTCTGCTGTGACAAAAGGTTGCCAAAAGAAAGGTGCTTATTTGAGACCGATAAAACAAGATGGTCAGTCAGACATGTCACGCTCATTTAGCATGCCTGAAACTGAGTCTTTGATGTAGGAGGCAGAGCTGTCAGCTCTGCCTTGGAGTTAGCTGCAGGCAGCCAGCTTATCTTTGCTAGCCTACGGTGTTGGGAAACAGCCTCTGCACTATTTTAACTTTTCTCCATGTATAAAGATCTCCACTGTATAGAGCATTTTTTTTAGTGTTTTCCCCAGACTTTAAGTTCCTTCATTAATGTAAAACCCTGGAACAGATTAACTGCCCAGTGGCAATTCTACATAGTTCAAGAAGCGTGCTTCCAGGCTACTCTGTTGGCATGCAGATGTAGATAGCTCCTTTAGCAAGAAACTATTATATCCTTGAAAGAATTTACCATCAGTATTTAAAAGTTTTTTGTTTTTTTTTTTGTTTTTTTTAAAGCATGATACACTGTGTGTATGCCTCTTTTTATACACAGATTCATGACAGTTTGGAAAAAAATTGAATGGAGTGAACTTAAGAAACTGTCAACCTACTGCAGCTCCAAACGTTTACCCCCCAAAGAGTTGTCATTAATTGCTGTGTTGTATTTCACCTTCAAGAGAATAATCATGATGTGGGATTTTATTTATTTGTTTGTTTTTAGGGGAGCACAACACTAAAACACAATCCCTAAACTGGAAGGGAATTGGATCTTTACGAGGTTAGATCACAGTGTCTTAGGAAATGGTTCTTTCTTCCATAGCTCCATTGTTTCCAAGGTCCAAATGAAAAGCTGTCTCACAGTGCCTCACTATTTAGTCAGCACACAGTTTTCATCATTGTCTCTGGAATTAATTTTCTCTCTCGGTCAGCTGGAACTCGAGTTTGATGACCTCCCAGTCACTCTGCAAGCTTCATTTTTCTTCTAAGCTTTTTCTGGGAAAATACATACAAACAGTCCCAAACTGCAACTCTTTCAACATATGGTTCAATCCAGGTCCCAAACTGTGTGTTTTATCATTTAATTTCAGTCCTCGTATTTGGCAAATTGAATGCAAATCAAAATAAAGAATCGTACGTAAGCAATAATGTAAGGGCTCTCTATAATACATCAGGACCAGTAGCCAAATGCCATCAATTATGCTGACATCTCCTTCAGTATGGAATGTGTCCTAATACTAAGCAATTGTATGTTAACAGTTCCATATGCATTATTACTAATGGTAACTATTGAGTTGAATCATTCCTGTGATAGTATTTAATAATGTCATTTTTAATTGCATACATGCAAGCTATCCCAGTCCTTTTGTGGAAAGAAAATGGTGTTATATTCACATAAAAATAAAAAGCACAAAGCCACTCTTGTTGCTTTCCTTTAAATGGAGAGAAAAATTTGTGCTCCCAAACCAAGACCTTGGATGCCAAGTTGCAGCCTGGAGCATATTTTTATGGCTGAGTTACAGGCCCCTGAAAATGGGGTGTTGTAATCAAAAAGGGTGACGTGATGAGTGTGCCACTGTATTTAATTAGATGTCTTTACCCCTTCCCCTACACTCTTGCTGCCACAAAAGGTGCTGTGCCAGCTTTTCTTTCTTATCTGCCTCCTGTAGTCCTCAGCATCATTGTGGGGTCAGCAAGGAGATACTTTATTAGCAGTAGTGAGATAGATTAGAAAAGAAAATATTTCTTTGCTTCTTGCATCCTGAATTGGATTGATTTGAGCAGCTTGGGTTTGGTTATTCATGGTGAGGAGTTTCTAACTCTCATGACCTATGAATGGTCACCACAGGACTGAAGGAGGATAACTTTTGGCACGTGACCCAAGTGCCTGTCCTCTTCCCCTCTAAGAGGTCTTACTGTTGTGGTTGCTCAAGGCATGTTCCCTACCCTTTTTACTTCCTCTTTGTTATTCTCCATGTTTCTGAGGTTGCCCAGAATCTAGCCTCATCCTCAGGATCCAGCCTGCCATCTGCCAACTGAGAAGTGCAGCACTTCGTGCCAGCTCTTCCCAGGAGTCTGTGCACTCTTCTGGGTGTGTGGCACACGTGAGGAAGAGAAGGAAATGTAATGCTGAGAACAACCAGCTCAGTAGTGGTGCAGGTTTCCTTCACAGGTTCTGAAGGCCTCCTGTTTGTCCTGGGCATTCCCCAGCTCAACTCTGTGCAGCTCGCAGCAGGACAACTGCCCCATGTCCATCCATCCATCCGAGCTGAAAAAGTACCCTGCAGTTGTCTCTGCGCTGGAAACTCTCCTGGTTTCAGGAGATTAGTGTGACTGCTGTGGTGCTTTCTGGTTTTCATCCTCATCAATCAGCAGTGTTTAACATTTGTTCAGTGCCTTTTCTGCCACCAGAACTTGCACGGGAGAGGAAATGAACAGCTGAGTGAATGTGTAGTTTGGACTGGGACTTGAAGCAACCCTTCCGTTCTGCATACATGCTTTCTGTGACTAGTGAACAGCAATACTGATACTTCAGATATCACTGCTGGCTTCCTAAAAGCTACTGAAATGGCTGCAGCACTTAACACATGTTTTTAGACCCTCTTTTAGGAAACTGTGGCCACTATCTCTTCATCACTTACAGTTTAAAATACGAAGGTTCTCTTAGCAACCATAACTTTTAGGTCTGGAAAGGAAACTGAGACTGAAAAAAAAATTAAATTCTTCAACCACTTAGTTTCTTACACTCACTCCAGGGACCATACAAGACAGTTTTGTGAGATAAAATATTTAGTGCAGTTATTTCTCAATAGTGTCCACATCCTCACAGAACCATTACTAGCTCTGCCATTGTTTGTCTGTGTTTAGCTTTAGTTAAATCATCTAGGCATCATCAGTTCTTCTACAAATAGATGTTGGAGGAGCTGTGGAAGTACTGAAACCTTATTGCACTCATAAAAGCAACCATTCCCAAACATTTCTTTTTTGGATAAATGACAAAGTGGTAATGAGAAGAAAATGTTCGTGTCTGTAAATTCAGTTCAAGATGTTCTCCTTTAAAGAAGGAAAACCATCTTAAAGCTGACAAGTTGCCCTATGATCATATGGTCCTCAATAAGCAAGTATCCACATACTCACAGAATCATTAGCAGAGAAGCCAAGGGGCTGAATGCTGTGATGTTTGCTCTCCAGCCTTGGAGACGCTTCCTTCAATTCTAGGGTTATCAACAGAGAAAGCAATGGGAAACCCAACAAAGCCATATACTGCTGATGCTTTTATGTCTCATGTAAATAATTACATGACCCCACGAACCATGAGATTTCATCCTTCACCAAACACATAGGGTTAAAGTGTTACGTGCTTCACAGCAGAAGTGAATTTGGCTCCAGTAACTCTCTTGTATGTATTTTAATTTCATTTTCTTTCCCACAACCTCCTGCCCCTTCAGATCCATGCTAACTTTTATTAATTTTTGTCTTTCTCCCAAGCTGTTCTTGCCTCCTTGGCTATGAGGGGGAGAGGTGTGAAATAAACCCAGATGACTGCGAAGATAATGACTGTGAGAATAACTCTACGTGTGTGGATGGGATCAACAACTATGTCTGTCTCTGTCCTCCTAATTACACAGGTAAGAAAGGTCAACAATTAAAGAACAAGAATCCATGAGGAGTCTCTGCAGTGCTGAAGGGGAAGGGTCTAATTGCGTCTTTACTTTGTCATAAGTGCATAATTAACAAAAAAAATTAGTCCCATTTCTAAGCTCCCTGTATGTCTTACTGATGAATGACTGGAAAGGTATCAGTTCAACCAATATTGTAATACTTCTGCATTCACAAACACAACCACTCTTTTGAGTCAAACTGCTGATTCTTCATTGTAAAATGCACTCAAAAACGCTGAAATTGTAAGTGTCCATGGAATGTTTATTTCTTCACATGCATTCACTACATTTCAAAAATATTCCCAGTACTGAACCGAGTCTGATACACATCTGATATAAATCTTGAAAAACTAAAATGGCTCCAGTTTAAATTATGGTCATTTTTTGGGCATAGCTTTCACCAGAGATCTCAAAGACATATATTAAATAAGTTAAGCCTGATAATTTGCTGTTTCATTTCATTATCTCCATTTCACAAGCGGAGAAGCAAGGACTAAGGAACTGCAGGTTCAGTTGTATTTTTAAGAGCACGCCTGTGGCAGTGAGCCCAGCTCAGCAGATGTGCAGTCACTTGCTAAGCCCACGGTGACAGAAGTTGGTAGCTGAGTTAGAAATGGAATGACTATTTCCAGTGCCCATGTTGCATTTCAGAGAAGTTCCTTCCTAAAACTTCTGCAAGGCCAGAAACCTTCCTAACTGCAATCTAAAAATGCTTTTTCTCAAATCATTACTGGAGTATACTGTTGACTCATTCAGACTGTTAGCACAACCTTCCTGGCACGGAGCGGTGAGGAAACACCTGCAATAGTTCCTACTTCCATCCTTTGAAATGGGTTTATTACCTTCTAAGCATGGAGAAGTAATGAAGGGCTTCTTGTACACAGGAATATATTGCATGTCAAGGGATTTAATGAGGATCAAGCTTGAGTGTCTGGGTGAGGTGGAGTAGGGGAAAGCTTCTAGAATTTCAAACTTAAAATACTTTTGTGGCTGATACAAAGGAGGCCCATGTAAATCTTTAGCTGAGAAAAGCCTTATGACTTGAATGTACATTTATTGGAGTTCTAAAATGATTTTTCTGCCAAAAACTGGAAAACTTCAACTTAGCAAGTAAAGAGTTTTGCCTGTAAGCATGTTGAGCCAATTGTGCTTGCTTGTGCACTATTTATGCGAGCTATTCTTGGGTGGTTTCAAACAAAATTCTATACAAGGAGGCAGAGCCTTTACATTTACAAGAGGAAATATATTTGCCAAGCCAAGAAAAGATATATCTAGTAAGGAACTAAATCCACTATATATGCAAATGCTATTTCCTTTTCACAGGCTTATTGCAGATTATTTTGGTTATTGCAGAGAAGAAAGGCAGGAAAGAACTAGATGGGGATTTCTTCTCAAATAGCAATCTGGCTACAGGCCAGAGAATTCACATGATACTTAAGAATCAGTTTTGAAATGTTTTGAGTCAACTTCCATCTTATTTTTTTACCTGCATATTGTCTGTGCTTGTTTGGGGGAGTTTGTCAAATACTTGTGTTGTAACACTGCATGCTAGATCCCAGCCTGGCATGTAGTATGTGCACGATTGTATATACCACACAGTAATGATTTGCTGTTTGAGTACAGGCAATAGCTTTGACTGCAGTTGAAACAGAGTTAGTGAAGAAGAGCAGCAAATATTTCTGGAAAAATGTCGTATAGATAGGGAAGTGAAGAAAGGCTGCAAAAATGGGAGGGTAGCTTAAGTTAGAAATCTGAAGAGTTTACATGTTTCTTTTAAAAAGGAAGAGTTTAGTGAACTGTGAATTGCCAATTAAGAATTGCCTTAACCTGCTTCACCTCCTTTTTGGAGATGGATATTCCATCCAACCTGACCAGTCACCTGGAAGGACTCACTGCAGTGCAGCTGGCTGGGCTGAAATATCCTTCTGAGATATGCTTGGCCCTGTCTGAGCAGAAAGGCATAAAGTAGCTGCAAGAACTCAAATTGTCAGCCAAACAAATGTTACAAACATGCCAAGTGAATTTGAGCCATGATTTTGAGGGTTCCGTAAGAGTTGAATCCAAACAAAAGAAATTGAACATCATTTGAAGTCGCTTGATTGAATGAACAGCAGCTATGGAAACTTTGTGGAAGTAAACAGGCAAGTCATGAAGAAGCACTTTAAAAGGGAGGGTGTGCATGACCTGTAAAGAGAAGGATCCATAAGCATAGAGTTTGACTGGAGTCTCCTATGAGATCCGAGGCATCTCTGTGAATATTCTCCTCAAATAAACCATGGTGTAGTGATACAAAACCTGAAGATAGTATCTTTAAAATGAAAATAATAATAATAAATAAATAGGTGCTGACAACTTTAATATTATGTTTGAATATATTGAGAACGGTGAGTGCTAACATTTCAAGATCGAGTGTGGTTTCACTGGGGGAGTCAGGAATACTTATTGCTGCTCTCATAACTCTGCATTCAGCTCTCTGCATCCCTCTTGGGTGCTGACTCTGCTAACCATTCAGTTAGCAAACTGTATGTGCTTCAGAGCTGCCAAGTGTATGGATTTTATCTGTATGTATGTGAACAAAGAAAGAAAGATGGAGGATACTTTAAAAGGCAAAAGTAGCTTTTGTGCAAAGTAGTTTGGGGTATAATGGACTCACAGTGCCATGCTTTGCCAACAGGGGCAGTGATACCCATAGGTAGGGTGAAACCAGTAGGACAGGAAAACACAGGCAAGTATCTCTTTTTGTTGTGACCAACTATTCACTAGGGACAAGCTGGGAGATAAGAAGGAGGATTAGAAATGATGCCTAAAAACCATTGGGAGGTTAGGAATAGGTCTTCAAGTCCTCAAGAAAAGTCGTATTTGTCTTAAGAGAGCAGGCCGAGCAGGATTCTTCATACTTTACAAATGCCTATGTTGAAAACAGAAATTGCTGTAAAAGGTTGAATGGCTGGATTTGGTGGCTGAACAAATCCAGACCATACAGTTTTATCCAAGAAATGTTGATTCTAGGTACAACATGGATTTCTCACCAGATGCAGTAGTTTAATACAAATTAAGTTAAGAATAGTCTAAATGATATTGGAGTTCAATAAGGTGTTTCTGTTGTGATAGTCTGTGATGTTTTCAGTAGCCTTCAGGCTGGTTGCTATAGATGCTCAGCTATTTCAGATTCTTCTTGACTGTACAGAGAGGCAACGTCTTAATCCCTCATCACTCTTGGGTGCTATAATGCTTCTAAGACTGTAATCATACTACAGTAAATACTGGAAGAATAAATGTATTTTGTAACATAAAGAATGGTGTGAGTACCTGGAGGAAGAAGATCCAAGAGCACGTGTGTTGCTCTTTAAGAACTATTTGCAATCTCCCCTGATTTATTTGATTAATGTGTAAATCATAATAGTAAATCTTATGTTCCTATGTGAAAAACAAATTAAAAATTCATGTGTTGGAGATGGTGGCTATTGACAGATTGACAGTATCCACAGTTTGTTTTTTTCCATACCTTAGTATTTTTGTGCTTTATCTTCTGTCTTTCACGTTTGATTTGTTATAGCCTTTTTAGGAAAAAATATCCCAAATACTGATGCACACATTTTTCTTTCGTTGGTTTTAATAATGAAAGCCAGAAATTTTTCTTCAGTTAATAGTTTTTTGCAGTGTTTTCCTTTAAAATTCTTTGTCAATTTTTTCCCCACACAAAGTAGGTTGCAGATAAAAAAAAAACCAACCGATTTGGTAAGTGACTGCTGAAGGAAGGAATTTCCCACACTCCAGCCCCATTTCACTTTCTTTTTTTTTTTTTTTTGAGTGCAGTAACCTTCTTCCTAGTTCCTTTCCATCTAATCACTAATACAACATGCAAATACAAATGGATTGAACGAAATAGGAAAGTGTAGGTTAAAGAGAACAAAACAGAGAGGGGAAAGTAGGCAGATAGCTGATTGCCATGCAAAGAAAGATTCTGTGGCAGAAAAGGAGACTTGATTCTCCTTAATCAAACCTTTACTTGAACTACAAGGTTCCCTCACTGTTCTTTAGCATTTTCCGTGCTTGTTGTGTGCATTTATATAACTGAACCAACACTCACACTGCGTGGCAGAGCACTGACTGCCTTTGCCTGCCATTTGATAGGTTGTTTTTTCTTTGCCCAACTTCTTACTTTATTTCTGAAGCTAAATTAAAAACATGTACTTCCTCCGGGATAATCATAGCCCTAGTCTAGCCAGCTCTAAAGCTTGAGCACTTTATCAGCTGTTTTACAACCTGGTCTGACCATTTGATGGACTTACAGTTTTGTAGTCTTTCCTCTCCAAAAATGAAAATATAGATGAACGTTAGAAGAGGAAGCTATGAATTAGTAACCCCAATCTTTTCTTTTTTGAGTTTTTCTAATATTTGTCCAATTCCATCATCCTACTGCTCTCTTAAATCTGCATCATTCTCTCGATCTCTTAACTTCCTTATCTTTGTCTGAATCTGTAGCTTTACCATGCCCTATCTCTAGCTATCGACACGATCTCCCTAGCTTTCTGTTTTAGCAATGTAGACAAAATTGATACCATTTTTTCCCTTCCATTTCCATTTTCTTTTCTTTTTCATCCCAGACTACCTTGAGAGACTTCACTGATTTGTTTGTAGCTATAGATCAAATATATAGTTTTATACCTCCAAAAAGAGATCCTTTCTTCATTCTCATTATTGTCCATGCTCTCACTTGAAGAAGTATTCCAACCTATGTGAAGGACTGTCTATACCAAACATATATTGTGTACTTTGAGTTAGTTTATGCTTTACTTGCTGTTCCACTTAGTCTTATTTGTGATTGCTGTGACTTTTGCTTCCTCCTGTCTGCCTGAGGCAGAAATACGTAGGTCTCATACAATAAATAAATCAGTAAATATATCCATTTTTGCTAAGAATCCTAAAAAGCCTCAGCTAATGGCTTCACCTCTTTGTTCTGAACA